TTTCCCTACTGAAAACAAATCCCTACTTGCTGCAAAACATAGCTCTTTGCAACTAAATTATCTACTGGTATCTTTATGGATGGCTCAGTTTAATTATAGTCAAGGCCTACGTTTTATAGAAATATAATTTTATTAAACATGCCACTGAAAGCACTTGCAATACACAAGACACATTAACTGTATTGTTATCTAATTGATAAAATCTTTACCAGTGATGCAGGAAGAAGCAAAGTGTCTCTTCCCTGTGAGGTCAGTGGGGTTTGAGGTCTGAACTCACTTTACAGTGTTTCCCTCAATGAGGCACTAATGGGGTTTTTGTACTTTGCTATCTCTGTTTTGTTGGGGCAGGAGATGATGAGGGAGGACCTCAGAGGACAAGAGAATCACATTTCTTCAAGAAATCAGCCTAAATCTCTGAGCCAAGAAGGTTTCACAAAGCTTTCTGAAGTACAGCTGGGGGCTATGCTTGGTAAGAATTAGCAGAGTCTTCCCCCTGCCCAACACGTACATGTGGAAGCTGCGGGGCAGCAATCTCCACATCACTTCTATGAGCCGTCCTGCTTCCAAGCTTTATCTGCCTGTGATGAAGGAAATTACGAGAGGCTTTTTCTACCTTCTCTCTCCTCAGTCAGTTCAATAATGGTGTTTCCGTGGGAGGAAGAGGTAATACAGCATAATTTGGGAGGATGTGAATTTACCACACCCACACACTGTAGTTACACCACACGCTGTTCTGCTCCCACCTGGTTCGGGGGAACACATCTCAAGGATTACAGCAGGAACAAGAACAGATCTCTGAAGTCTCCCAGGTGTCCTTTTAGTTGAGTTTCAGATAGTTCTTTGCTCTGGCATCACAATTTAGTAAAGAAATGACTAGTAGAAGTCATGTACCTCAGGTTTTTGGGTGTGTTTTGTTTTTTTTTTAAAGAAATGATAACTGGCAAAGGATGAATTTTCTGGAAAGTTTATCCCAGTGTCATGTGAACATTGTTGAATTGGAGGATTTGATGCTGGCACAGTGTTATATATAACAATGATGGAAAATATTTTCTAGATCTTCTGTGTTATAAATAATTGTTCTAGGGAAAGCAGGTTGTACTTGCTGCTCTCAGAGAGAAAATGATTAGTGTTTCTAAATAAGCACCCAACAAATCCTAGCCAACAGAAGGAGCTTCACAGAAAAATTGTCTGATTTAGTTGTTGAACATTGCAAATCCCACTGGTCAATGATGATAAACGGAGGTTTGGTAATACCACATATTGAGTTAAAGAAAAAAGTGCACAGCTCTTTCCTCACGTCTATCAGGGGGCAAGCATCAAGGAAACTGCAGTTAACGAGAATTTTGGGTGAGGGTGAAGTCATTCAGCCTGGCACTGTCCCCTGCGGACTGATTCACCCCCAATGACACTGCTGGTCTTTGCAGGTGGTTTATCCAAAATGACAGCCCCAAAATAGGGGGAGATCGTAATAGCCTTTCAAATTGGAGTGCAGGAAAACTAGAAAGAGATCTGGTTGCAGCAGGCTCACAGGGAATTCTTGCTTGTGCACTTTGAAATAAAGTTAGAAATGGAGAAAGCATAAAAAAACCCCAAGCAAATAGGTGTAGTTAAATAGCATTTGCAACAGTAGGTGAAAATGTCCTCTATTTTAGAACATGATGGATGTCAATGAAAAGAAAATAAGGCATGTCCAAATTAAAATAACAATATTGGGCTAATTGTTCTATGGCAATATTCCCATCAACCTCAAAATCAAACAGGACTACAGGAATTGGATGATGAATGCTCTATTTGCTATCTTTGCAGGCAAAGACTCCAACAGTAACTGCAATTCATAGATGTCCAAGTGTTTTCTTAGTCATTGAAACATACATTATGTCACCTGAAGAAATGCCCAAAATATTGTACATTTAAAGGTACAGGTGATTATCAGACCCACTTGCTGCAAGCAAGATGATATTCATATATACTCTTTTGACCTCTTGGTCTTGCCTCAGTAGGGAATTATTTG